GACCATGTCCATCCCTTTATGACCACAAAACCGTTAATAGCGTGGTGTACCTAATAAAGTGGCCGGCAAATATATATCAGCTGTAGCAGCATCATATGAATTCTGTCATTTTACACATAGTCCACCAGGAGGCGCCAACACAAAAGTCAGAGACTTCACATGAGATTTGGACCATCTTGTGGGGGGAAAGCAGATTACTTCCTACTCACAAGCGCCCCTTCTGGTGGGAAAACTTTTTTCGGGGATACTAACTTTTTCAGAACACCGGTAGACAGCAGCCATTACAGACAAACATGTGTTTGTTGTTCGAGGAGCGGCCCGGTCACACGCTAATGTCATTAGTTCGCTATCATTACTAAGGTGCAGGAATACTACCCCCCCCCCCCCTTTTTTTTTCACATCATGTCGCCTGCCTGGATCTGTTATTTTCTCGCTCTGAAGAATGAAGGAGTGTCACAAGTAAGCTTGTTTAACTGCTTTTTACGACGCGTCTCATTTCGGGACTCAGGCATTTTGTAAATGAAGCCGATATTTCAGTTAAAATACACAAGTAAAATATTTATCTGAGTATAGTACTACCCCCCAACTTTATGGATGATTTTATGGATTAAATTTTACATATTATTCTTGAATAAATACCCTTCTGCTTCTTTGTAAAGAATCTCCTAATGCCCATTGTGTCTGTACTTGTCTTCACCCAGGCTGTGTTCCACTACAGCTGGAAGCTCGTTTCACTCTAAAATTGAATATCTGCGCTTCAGGAATTCAGTGTCATCTTCCTCCTGTCTAACCTGGTGCAGGCAGTCCGACGTTGGGTCCCCTTCACTTACTATTATTGCGACGCCTATGTTCCAAAGCACAGTTTTGATAAGGTGAGGGGGTGTGACCGTGGCAAAAGGTTATAGCACTCTGAGCTGTGCAGGTGGTGTCGAAAGAAAATATCTTTTATTGTTCTCTCAGAGTTTTTACGCTCCGTTCACAGATATTTATTTTCTTCCTGAGGATTAAACTTCCATCCACAGACTTGATGCACTCCACTCCACTCTTTAAGCCAGACTCCGATGTCCTGCAGGACTCTAGCCATTGAAACGTCACCTCACAGGAACACAATGCAGCAAAAGAGCGGATAAACAGAGATAGGAGAGTGAGAGGTTTGGCTGCTGAACTACCACTCAATCTGGCAGGGAAACGCACACACACACACACACACACACACACACAAACACACACACCCACACACACACACACAAACACACACCCACACTCACACTCATGCAGTGAAGTTGCAAATCTGTGATCAACCATCTAACCTGACGGCCTCGTCCCCTCTGTATATGGCTGCTCTGAAATGTCCTGCAACTCTAAGCAACGGCAATCACTGTTAACGTCCTCATTCGCTCATTATTAGCTTTAACTTATTCAACCAAACAACAGATTATGCAAAGATCAGAAACAGGTAATACTACAGGTAAGTATTTATTAAATCAATAATTAAATGAGCTAATCCTCGCTGGATGCTGGTGAAAGGACAAACTCCTTTCTCCACAACTCACGCTGCCACTCACATGATGTAAAGGAGTTAGAAATGATACCCAGATTACCTTGTAAATATCCTAGATTTACTCGATTCATGACATCGCTCGCTGTGAGATTAGAAACATCCTCTACAAGCCGAAAGAGGGGCGACAGAGGAGTCAGAGAAAGAAGGGGAGAAAACAAGAAGAAATTAAAAAATAAAACAATCAGGCAGGCAGTGAAGGCATTGAAACTTTAAAAAAAAAAAACGTGAGAGCAAAGCGAAGAAGCCATGCGTTGGTGTGAGTTCAGAATCACTTCCAGACGAGTCATTCGTCATCCTCCTGCTGCTGTAATTCACAATAACAAATGTTACACTTTTCTACATAAAACACAATATCTGCTGGATTTTTTTCAGCTCTGCGGTCAGGGCTGCAGTCTCGTTTTCCCGAGGCCAAGGTTGCGTCAGGAAGAGCGTCCGGTGTGAAACAATCGCCACAGCTTTGGAGCGGGTTGGCTCGCTGTGGCGACCCCCTGCAGAACAACAACACATGACGTGTTTGACATCTGGACCGTGATTCTGGGTTTGTTCCGAGGCGTTAAAGCAGGGATGTGAGCGGCTGAGAATGGAAGCGACTGAAAAGTGCAGCCAAAGCTCCGTGAACCTGAAACACTTGATGTGAACAGAACTGTGTTCGTGGAAATACAGCGGGTAAAATAAGTATTGAACACGTCACCATTTTTCTCAGTAAATATATTACTAGAGGTGCTAATGACATGAAATTTTCACCAGATGTTGGTAACAACCCAAGTGATCCATACATACAAAGAAATCAAACCATAAATGTCCAGAAATGAAGTTATTTGTAATAATGTGGAATGGCACAGGGAAAAAGTATTGAACACATGAAGAAAGGGAGGTGTAAAAAGGCATGGAAAGCCAAGACACCAGCTGAACTCTCTCAGTAATTAGAAAACAAGCCTGCCCCTTGTCAGTGCAAGTTAATATCAGCTGGTTCAGTCCCAAATGATGGCCAGGTATCACACAAGAACCATCTGATGATGGGTAAAAGTAAAGAGCTCTCTCAAGACCTTCACAACCTTATTGTTGCAAAGCATAATGATGGCATCGGTTACAGAAGAATGTCTAAACTTCTGAAGGTTCCAGTGAGCACTGTTGGGGCCATAATTCAGAAGTGGAAAGAACATTATTTCTCCATAAACCGACCACGACCAGGTGCTCCTCACAAGATTTCTGACAGAGGAGTGAAAAGAATGATCAGAAGAGTTGTCCAAGAGCCAAGGACCACTTGTGGAGAGCTTCAGAAACACCTGGAATTAGCAGGTACGATTGTTTCAAAGAAAACAATAAGTAATGCACTGAACCACCATGGCCTGTATGCACGCTCACCACGCAAGACTCCACTGCTGAAGAAACAGCATGTTGAAGCTCCTTTAAAGTTTGCTGCACAACATTTAAACAAGCCTGTGTAATACTGGGAGAATATAGTCTGGTCAGATGAGACCAACATTGAACTGTTTGGATGCCAGAATACACATCATGTTTGGAGGTCAAATGGCACTGCACATCAGCCCAAAAACACCATACCAACAGTGAAGTTTGGAGGTGGGAACATCATGGTGTGGGGCTGTTTTTCAGCATATGGTACTGGCAAACTTCAAATAATTGAAGGAAGGATGAGTGGAAAAATGTACAGAGACATTCTTGATAAAAATCTGCTTCCATCTACCAGGATGATGAAGATGAAACGTGGCTGGACATTTCAGCAAGACAATGAGCCCAAACACAAAGCCAAGGAAACTCTCAGTTGGTTTCAGAGAAAGAAACTAAAGCTGCTGGAATGGCCCAGCCAATCACCTGACCTGAATCCAACAGAAAATCTATGGAAAGAACTAAAGATCAGAGTTCATTGAAGAGGCCCACGAAACCTTCGAGATTTGAAGACTGTTTGTGTGGAAGAATGGGCCAAAATCACACCTGAGCAATGCATGCCACTAGTTTCTCCATACAGGAGGCGTCTTGAAGCTGTCATTGACAACAAAGGCTTTTGTACAAAGTATTAGATAAATTTCAGTAAGTGTGTTCAATACTTTTTCCCTGTGCCATTCCACATTATTACAAATAACTTCATTTCTGGACATTTATGGTTTGATTTCTTTGTATGTATGGATCACTTGGGTTGTTACCAACATCTGGTGAAAATTTCATGTCATTAGCATCTCTAGTAATATATTTACTGAGAAAAATGGTGACGTGTTCAATACTTATTTTACCCACTGTATCTGCTGTGAATCTTCAGAATCATGTCAGAGAAAATGACACAGATTGGAGTTTTGATTCAACAACAGAATAATTTTACTGGTTAAATAAAACCTCAGTGGGCAAAACTAAAAAACAAACAAACATCTGAATCCTGAGTTTTAATACTGCTCTATATTTCAACACTTTTAGTTCATGCTTAGAATTATTATCAAAAATAAAAGGTAGACTTATAAACTTAAAGAAAACCTGTCTTATAAAATTATTAGGGCAGGGATGGCCAACTGGCGGTCCATGGGCCACTGTCTGGCCCAACAATGAGCCCCCTCAAACCAAATTATTTTTTTAAGTTAAAATAAATGGCATAATTTTTAATATTTTGGGAAGTAGTCCACAGAATTTCAAGGCAAACCTCTGTGTTTGAGTCTGCTTAGAGATGCCGTCTGCCATGAAGGATTTTAATATAAGTCACCACTAATACAAGTTGCACAAAGCTAAATATGAGAAGCTGACTGAAGTCACAAGAACATAAACAGCAACTTTTTTTAAATCAGAACCCCACAGGAGTCTGCGCTGACGGTGTCTAGTGCCACTGCACTCCAGCCCACTCACTAAAGTGTTTTTTGTTTTGCTTCAAAAGTTAAGTTAGTGCAATGTATGTTGGCTTAATTAACACACAAAAACACGAGTTTGTTTTTATATTCCCGTGGGGACCATGCATTGACTTCCATTCATTTTCCGGTCATTTCTATAGCCTAACTCTGACCCTTTACTCTAAAATTAACCTCACAGGTACATACTTGACCCTAAACCGAACCTAAACTCAATTCACACCTTGGTCCTAAACCAAATCCCCCACCTAAAACTAGCATCCATACCTATGGGGACCGGGATTTGGTCCCCATGAGGGACATGCGGACCAAATATGCCGAATATTTGCTAATGCTTTTAAGCATTTTTTTAAATGGCAGTTTTCTTACATTTGGGTAAGTGTGTAGCAATATATGGTCATCTGGCCGTCAAAAAAAAAAATTGTGACCCCTTCGATTCTTCCATCATTTAAGTTGCCCAACCCTGATTTAAGGTTAATTTAGCATAGATCCTATATTTATAGACTTATCATCAAAGGCTGAAGCCTGAAGATTTATGTGGAAAGACTTGCAGAGAACAAAAAACTGACCTTAAAAAAGAAAAAAATGTTTGATTTTTTAATCTAAAAATTAAATCCTCATGATCGAAAAGAAAAAATAAGTAGGTCCTCTGGACGGGTTCTTCTCTAATGAAACGTTTCGTCTCTCCTCCAAGAGACTTCTTCAGTCTGATGAGTTTCAGGTGAATTCAGCCTTATAAGCACTGCCTCCACATGGTGGACAAACAGGTTAGTCACATGCAAAAGAGGGCCATCATCTAACAATAGAGCTAACTCTATTGTTCATAGAGGGTCATGTGCCCCATCACCTGACTTATTGGTTTGGATGCTTCTGCTGTGGTTCTGTGGTTATTTGGTGTTTTGTTATGTGTATGTAGTGAGTGCAAGCGGGGCTCAATGTCCCCTCATGAAAAAGGGGCATCATGAAAAAAAATCCTCATGACTTTGTAAACGTAACATTATACGTTACGTATGAGCCTCAGACTGCATTTATGTGAGTGAAAATGTCATAAAAAACTTTTGCTTTTAGACAGAAGATTCATCTGTGGCCTAAAATGATAAAGTTGATCTGTAAAAATATCTTCTCTGTAACTGCTGTTTTAGATCATTAGTTGTTCCTGTACCTCAAATTGCATCAAATCTAAATAATTTTTTTGCATCATTCATAGAGCGACAGGTGTAATTAGAAGATGTTAAATAATTTGCTAATTCACTGTAAGAATCTTGATTACTGAGAAAATACTGAACATTCAACATCTCACCAATCTTGTAAAACGTGATTTTATCTGCTGTTTACTGTTTATTTTAAATGATTTTAAATCCTCCAACTTTTCTGTTTTGTTTGTAAAGTTTACTCACTGAGAATAAATTCAACCAGTTAATATTTCTGTGATCTGGACTAAATGTTTACAAAACTATAACTCCAATCTGCAACATTCAAATTAGAATCGTTATGTTTTGTGTACATCATGATTATTATTACATCACCTAAACAATAAAGATGACATGAATATAAACATAGACATATTTATGGGAAAATACTGCAACCTGGCTGTGAAACAAGCAGCAGGTAATGTCTGGATGATGGATGGATGTTTTGTTTATTCAAACCAGCTGTTCCACTCACCGTATCCCACAGTGGGCAGGCCCAGGTGCTTCATGCGGTTCTTGACGAGCTCAGAGAGCTCCTGTCGCTCGGAGCGTCGATACAGGTTGAGCCTCTGCTGTGAAATCCGCTCCGCTTTGCTCGTGGGTTTGTTGCTCTTCCTGCTTAGCCGCCGCGCCCACTGCATGCTCTTCTTCCTCAGCAGCGGGTGCTCTGACTGGTCGCTGGTGGTGGAGTTTCTGTGGGCCGTCTTCTCCTTCCAGGACTCTCTGTGGTCGCGGTGCTCCTCGCCCTGATCCGCGTTGATGGATGCTTGGGACTGCAGGGTTGTCAAGAAAAAAACAAAAACAAAAACATGTGACTTCGAAAGCAGCGACTTTTTGTTTGTTCGGATTTTAGGTGCCAGCAATCCCACCCTAACCTGCTTCACGTGACAAATAATTAGCTTATTAAATGCAGATCTTACCTGTGAGTTACTGTCCTTCTTCTGAAACAGAAAGCCAGCCAACAAAGAAAAACGCAACAAAAATGGATTACTCAAAGCAAATTAAACAAGTTAAAGCTCTCAAATCAGCAAGTAAAATAGTAAATACTTTTACTATTTTATCAACAACTATTTAGAAATGATCCTCGGCAGCTTTTTGTTTATTAATACTTGAGAGCTGCTTGCACAGTTTATTCAAAAGGCAAAATAAAAAGTAATTATATTGAAAAAAAAAGGAAAAACAGCCAAAAAGCTCATTTAAATGACCAAATTGGATCGCATTACTGCATTATTTTTGGAATGACCCTGATTTATGATGACCGCCACGGCTAAGGGAGTTCAGCAAACACAAAAATGGCTACAAAAGAGATTTTTACAGACAGCTTTAGTGTAGTAGCTCCTCATTTCAGCTGCAAACAGATTCCAGGCTCTGGAATGAATTCCCTTTTAATCTGAGCTCCCTTTGGTAACATTGTCTCTTTCAAGTCACTCCTGAAAACCCACTTTTTCACTCGAGCATTTAGCCTACCATTTTCACCATTAATGCCAGCCCACCTCAAACGTAAATGCTCATCAATCTGTGTTTTCTTTATTATTGAACTTACACCATATTTTTCCCTCTCACATTCAGTATGTTTTTGTGTATTACTGTATATTTTGTCCTGCATTGACCTTGTGTTTGATTTACAATTTTAGAAACTTTTCTTTATTTGATGTTTCAATTTTTCGTTGCTTATGTATAATTATGTTTTTCTGTTTCATCTTATTCTTTCCACCATTTTTATACTGTTAATGATTGTACAGCACCTTGTGAATATATTTCTGTGAAAGGCGCTTTATAAATAAAACTTTACTTACTTACTTACTTACTTACTTACTTACTTACTTACTTACTTAGATAATGTTTGTTTAAAACAGTATTTAGAGCCTGATGCCTTCCTTCAAGCAATGTTTCTTTCATTCCATTAGCAGATAATACAAAAGCAAAACAAAAAAAAAAGTTAAAGAAGGATAAAATTAAAGGGCCAATATTATGTGTTTCTCAGGCATATATTTTAAATACTATACCATAATAAAGTATCTATGTCACCTTTAGCTGTTATTAAAA